ATCCGCACACAAACCTCAATAAGGACGAACGTGTGCCAGTTTTTACTCTTTATTATTATTTTTAAAATAATTGCACTGAATAAACAAATTAAATCAATTTAAATAACCTTAATTATTTTTAATTACATATTTATTATTATTTCAAAGTCAATCGCCCATGAAAGGATTTTATTTTATTGCATATTTTCAATTATTTGCATGACAAAATAAAATAAAATTTAATTCCAATAAATTGTGGTAATTAAATTTACTTTGATGTTGAAAATACATAAATAATCCAAAATATAAAAATATAGATAAAGAAGACTTTTAGTAGTTCGCTACAATTAATATATGACCTAGAAGCTTTTGATTATTATTATCATATTTAAATATTAATAAGAGATGAATTCATACCTAATAAAATATCTTAATTAGCCAAAAGATTTTACTACACTGAGCATGTCGTAGTTTTTGATTTCTTTATTTAACAATTATTTAATATATAGCAAGTAGTATGAAAAGATAGTCAGATAGATGGCGAATAGAAGAGTATCATAAACGATATGAGTCAGTCAGTGGGTGGTAGACATATTTTTCGTTACATTTGATAAGCTGATTATCAAAATGGGTAAAAACTATATTATTACTAAGAGACTTAATGCTTAATAGCTACAGAATATTATACAATAATTTATAATCACATCAAAGTAAGTTTCACGACAAATGCATATATCACCACTGGGTAATCTGCATTTACCAAATGTATCAATATTGTGATACACATCGTCTTTTCATCGAGAAAGGCACTGATACATCGGTATTTGAAAGCTCTTAAGGATCGTTAACCGCTGGTCTTCATCCGTAAGCAAAAATCAGTGACATGCTGAAGTTATTTTATTCATCATTAGATTTTTTAATTGCCCACTGAAACTATAGAAGTATGTAGATATAAGTAAAACGATTCTTTGTCTGACCTCAAACAGATTGCAACGACTTCTCTTTACATATAGCTATCGATAGGTACGTAACGTCGAAAACCGTCCGCATAGTAATACAACGCAATTATTAAGTTCGATGATTTAATATAACATACCTCAACATAAAAAAATTATTTATAAGACGCTTTTTTACCTAATACATTGATTAGGATACCATTATAAGATATAATGTTATATACCTTTATAGCTCTATTTTATACTTTCGAAGTTGGATTTTTACTAACAAGATAACATCAGTTGGTTACACGTTGATTTTGGTTTTTTCGTATATGTGAAAAAATTATTGGCATTGTTGGCTATGTAAATCTCTCGATAGTTACTAAAGATTTTTGGGACTCTCCTTTTTTAAGAGGAGTAACATAATAAAAAAAATCTATACAAGCGTAAATTATGCTTGTCTTCAGCTACATTATAAAGTACTTAAAACTTCGTCATAATCTGTAAAATATAGTATATTCTCTTACTCTTTCTTACTGTGGCCCTTGCTTCTATTTTTATTCTTACTCTGACTCTAACTCTGACTCTGACTCTGACTCTTACTCTTACTCTTACTCTTACTCTTACTCTTACTCTTACTCTTACTCTTACTCTTACTCTTACTCTTACTCTTACTCTTACTCTTACTCTTACTCTTACTCTTACTCTTACGATGCGTTAGTGTATAAATCTTTTGATTTAAACGTTTGTGACCACCGTCGGAGATAGTTGGTCATATTCTCGGACACGTATAATGATATAAACCTTGCTGTTACTATTACTCTTTCTCTTACTTTTGGTCTTTATCTTACTCTTACTCTTTCTACTTCTCTTACTCATTTACTATTACTATTATTCTTACTTTTATTCTTACTCTGACTCCTACTCATATTCATATTCTTATTCTTACTTTTTACTGTCTTACCATCATTTTCATATACGTACTATTACTTTTACTCAGACACTGTAATTCTTTTTTTATAACTTTATTGATCTTAGTTATAATGAAATAAACTGATTCATCTAATTCCACGTAATTAACTTAATGACTTTGATGACTTTTGAATTTGTAGCGCTGGTCGAAATGTTTATTTTATAACGCTTTTCCAAAAAATATAATTTAATTTAAATTTATGTAACCAAAAAACAAAAAAACAAAAAAATTGGGAATAAAATTGTAATTATTGAAAATAGCAAAAGTAATTATAAACTTGCTAACACACATAAAACCAATTAAAAACAGTGCAAGTACCAGGAATTGTGTCACATTAAAGCTTTAACTGCGTTGGGCGGTTTTTGCTGGATTCCATTTTCAAGCACAGGATTTCCCACACAAAGGCATTTGTTGTTGTCTATTGATTAAAAAATTTGTTGTCTACTTTTTTGATTACATTTATTGGAAAACAGCATACCAAGCAATATAAAGTAAAAAAATAATCCAATAAAAGACATCAAATTTGTCTCGCAGCCTCAAACACAGCAAATCCGCATCCAAATAATGCCTATCAGTGCACTTGTATGAGTTAGGAACAAATTTAATCCTAAATTTAACTTCCCTGAGGCCACTATTTTATTTACTACTCACTCCCATGTCGGGTATTACCAAAGCAATAAATGCTAAAATCAATTGAAACGTTTTGTGAAACCCCATGTCAGAAACTTCCTCACTGCCATTGCCTGCAACTTGGAGCAATCGTAAAAGAAATCAAACCAGAACTCAGGAACGAAATCAATAAAATTGAATATAACACATATCACGGCAAAGTAAAGCAGAACTCAATGTAACTACAAACTGAAAACTGGAAACTGAAAACTGAAAACTGAAAAGGAGTGTCAGGAGCAAAATTGCAAAGTGGAAAAAGTTGCAAAGGACCCAGAATAAGAAAAAGTACACTAATTTACTTTCAGTGTTTGCAAAGGATTTCCAAAAAGCAGTTACTTGTACGAATGCTCATGACTTCTTCTATCATTTAAACATTCCTCACATGCCTACGGAATGTAGGAGCGGCAGCACGGCACGAACTGCAGGAATGTTGCCAATGGTAAAGGATTAAAATAATGTTGGAAAAGAAAAATGTAAAGTGAAAAGTCCTAAAGGAATTCAGCAATTTCCACACTTAAAACGTTGAATGCACACACACACACACACACACACACAGACCAATACACGCATATATGCAAATAAAGCTCCCATTTGTAATTTAGCAGTAATGGCAACTATATTGGCAGTTTGTAGTAGGTTTTTTACTACTATATCACTTTTTTCTTACATTGCTGCAATTTGTTATTGGCAACTGTGGCTTGCCCTATATTTTGGAGCGGCGTTAAAGTTGAAAAAAGCAGCAAATTTCCCAAAAATGATAAAAAGCAGTCACTCGGCTACGGGAGCCACAACAACAGCAACAACAACTGCTACAACTAGCACCACAGCAGTATATCTGATATAACGAAGACTTCGACATGAAGTACAATTCGGTCATAAAACAAACAGACAAGTCAGGCCAATGGACGGACACCCGAGTTTTGCACACTCAAAGACTTGGTTGTGTGCCTTTGGTCCGAAGTAAATTACAATTTTTGCATTTGATATTTTTAAGCTTTATTTTTATTATTTTCTCACCATATTGAAATATAACGTTGGCGGGATTCGTGATTCCTGAAAGTTTCCATTTTGCTGATTTCTCAGTTGCTCTATTTTTGCACTTCTTCCTATGTACGTTCCCCAGCTGTTCATTCACTGTGGATGAATGACCGCACGGGAGCACAAATAAAAATTGCTCCATGAAACGAAAATTGGCGGCGAGTGTCAGTGTTCTTAAAGCCGCAATTCAACACGTCTGATGATTTGGACTCATGGTGAGCCAAAAGTGTTTCAACCTTCGATTTTTTGTTTTTTGAATTGGATTTTCGAAAATAGCTCAGTTTACACAGGTTCACAGAAAGTTATATGTATTTCAATCGCTGCTGCACCGTAGTTTAATGCAATTATTTTTTCAAATTGGCAAATGTCAATTACTGAGAGCTGCGCTCAAAGGCGAAGGCATTTAATGGTATAATAGATTTATTTTTTATTCTAAAAGAGAAACAATTTTTTATTTGCCTTTAGCATAAATAGATTGGATCGAGAAATGAATAACTGTAAATAACGCTTAAGCAAATTGGAGATATTTCGACCATAATGTCAGTAGCTGAAACTTTTCATACAAATGGAGACAGTAACACCCATTCCAAAATACGCTCATAAAACCATAGAAAGCTAGCGTTATATAAAGGGTGGACTATTTGATATCAAACGAGACCAACAGCTTGCACCTGAATATCATCCTCCTGGTTTTTAGTAAACAAACCATCAAAAATAATATAATTTGACGACACATCCTCTTCCATGAAGAGACTGTATGCTATCTACTTAAATATGCCAGCCATATCCTTAGCAACTTTAGCTCCAATCTGTTGAGGAATGCCATTATTTCTTCTATAGAGTCACACAACTTAGTTCTTTAATCTGGAGATGATCAGGTATCATCGTGCCAATAGTGATGTCTATCCATACTTATGCTCTTCCACGCAGAGACCACATTCTATCTTCTTAAAGATACCAATCATATCCTTTGGCAGCCTCAGCTATAACCTATTGAGTAAGGGTGTTACTTCTTCTGTAGAGTCACACAATTTAGTTCTTTAGCCTGGAACTAAGTATTAGGCCTCGTTTCATAGTGTTAATAGTGATGTCTATTTATACTTATCTGACTCATTCTCTTCCACGCAGAGACCACATTCTATCATCTTAAAGATACCAATCATATCCTTAAGCAACCTTAGCTTTAACGTAGTGAGGAAGGATATTACTTCTTCTATAGAGTCATACAACTTTAGCTTTTCGATGACCTGGAGTGAAATGAACAATTATTAATGCCAAAATTTTTTGTTATAACATATAAATTAAATACTGGTTTTTTTTCAACTAAGTAACTTTCGTTTTTGAAATGAAATATATTTATAATAACAGAATTGTTTTTGACATAAAAATAAAAATTTCTTTAGATGTTGTAACCCTTTTTGGGAAAAAAAAAATTTTGTTTCGTAAATAAAAAAATTTATTTTAATAAAACTTTAGTAATTATGTTACCCGAAGATATAGCCGTCTTGCCACTTGAAGAGGCAACTAATTTGTTTTTCAACGGTAATTTTGGAAAACTTATACGAAACATGGAAAATATCATAGACGAGAGAAGTTTGATATTCATTATTATTCCATCCGTTGAACCCCAACTTATGGAAGTTTACCTTTTTCAACGTGATTTCGATACAGCTGTTATGCATGATCATATCTGTTGTAGGGAAATGGATGTGCAGCTCTTCAATAGATTAGAATTATTTCGAATTTCTCGCATATATAGTTCCGCTACATGGATTAATCCTGGCTTGATTCAAACTCTCGCTGACACAATGACCTGAAATTGCATTCCCAAGTGTAAGAAAATTTTCACTCTCAAATTTTATTAAATTAAATGTTTTTTTTAATAACAATTTATATGATAAAATTTATTGTAGGTTCAAGCAGAAGTGGATCATCTTCTCTAGGGTAAAGATGAAATATGGTTTTTACATTATATAAAGATTAAATAAATTTTATTTACGACGCATTAAAATAATTGTCTTTGTGTTTTAATTTAAGATTGAAATTTCTCAGTTTACTTAATTTATTTATATTAATTGTTTGTCCAGCAATTGCTTAGGAGCTGCCTTATTGTAACTTATAAATAAAGAAGTACTTAGGTTAGTAAACATCTGAAGTACTTCTTAAGAAACCATATTTGTTTTTACCATATTTGTTAAGAAATTTTGATTGGGGAACCACTCTAAATCCATACAGAGATCAGAATTGTCGTAATATATTTTGTCCTCTTGATATCTATCTATCTCGTAAGAATATAAAGGTACGGTATTGGTAAGATATAGATACCAGTGCAGTGCGTTTATTACCATCTTAACAAGATGCATCTGTCTAAGGTTGTACTCAACAAAAGATATTTTGGCCTTAATTCGACGGCTCACTTGCTCTATGACAATCCGCTTTTGAGCTGGTCCGAAAGAATATAAGTGTGCTGAGATTTTCGATATCCTTCTGGTATTAGGATGTCTTCAACAGCTATTTTTGTGGCTTTAATTAGAAGTACGGAGTGTTGTCTGTTCAGTTAGAGTCAGATCAGCCATAGTTGGGAACTAGTATGCAAAATATTTTCTATTTCAATATCAGGCTGAATGAATTTTAAGAATATCAACCGAATCTTTTGGGCTCAATAGGAACATGAACAACGAAAGTATTTAACGTTACATTGAAATAATGCACTATACACCTTGAAAAGATAGAGCACAGATTAAGAAAGTATGATTCATTGTAGAGAGCAGTGCAACGCATTATATCCTGGTCGCAGTAACTTATAAATCCTATTTTCCACCAACATTAATATTTACTCATTTACCTCTATAAAATGTTTATAAAGTGTCTATATCACCACTATGAAATCTTTATATTATGTTTAATAAAGTTTTCAAATCCTTTTATTGTTTTTATTTGATAATGTAATCAGCAAAAACGGGCCTTAAAGACATCACAACATTTTAATAATCCTCACTGGATTTTTCATCATTGATTTTTTATATTTTCATAATTGATTTTATTTGAACTTATGTTATACCTATATGACGTTCAGTTACTAAACTCCTTTAAGAATTTTTGCGGTTCTTCAATGCTACAGTAAGAGTGATAAACTCTACATTCTTTTCTTCTGCACTTCTTCTAACACAGTCTACTATTATATGTTTACGTAAAGCAATTATTATAGATAATTTATTCTTCACAGTTTTAAAGAATGCAACTTCTTTCCAAATATTTTCCAATCAAAAAAATATATTGTTTTTGAAATTTCGGAATTATGAGGTTTATTTATACATAATTTTCCATTTATTTTTTATTGGCAATATTACAGCAAACAAAAATTATTAACTATATCAAAATTTATTTATTTTTCAATTTGCATAAATAAATTTGGAAACAAGGTCCCAGTTTAAGCAAACAAATTTGTAGCTATGAAGTAAAGTTAAATTACTGCAAATCAATTTCTTAAGGAATTTACAAACCAAATATGGAAGCCGCAACGAAAATGTTACTCAAGTATTTCCCCTTCCGGATTTCTGGTACTTTCAACAGTTCAGTGTGGAAGTATACAGCAAATACATAGCGTGTAAGATAATGTCTGCAAGTGTAGGCAGGATGGTTAA